TTTAGATTCTTAAAGAGAATTTTGAGCCACAATAATTCAAATTGTCATTGCTTTGAACTATGCTTCTGCACTATGTCTTGCTATTATATTTTATTTTTTGCTTCTCCAAGAAAAATGTAGTATCAATAGGTGGATCTCATGTTTGCAAGTGAACTTGCATTGTCTGTGATAAGAAACACTTGTAGATCTCAAGTATTTCCTATCAATCTTTGGAAAACAACTATAACTCTCCACCAAAATTCACACAAAAATAGGAAAACAGTAGATTGTATTATATGATGAAAAGGAAACGGAAAATAGCAAGATACAATTGATCCTCTATTCGAGAGGAGGATCGATCTCTCCCAAATCTCTAGATGCTGCTAGAGCCAAAAAGAAAACCTAAATCTAAGAGATCTCAAATTTCAGTCAAATTCAAGATGCCCTAGCCCTAGGGAAACAAAGTATTTAATGCATGCAAATCAAAAGGAAATCTCTAAATAGTCCCTACATTCAAATTTTCCTCCTAAATCCCTAAAAAATCCTTCCTAAATGCTCCGCTTGGGCGTGGTCGGTGCGAACAGTGCGTACAAGAGGCGAAACTGTTCGTAAATTTGTCTAGTCGGACCGGCTGGACCGGTCCAATAATGAACCGGTCTAACAATCTGCTTTTGTATAGCTTCAAGTTTTAACTTTATATTTCTTTTAAACAAAATTGCCCTTCTAATATTTTAGCTTTTAAGGAGTGAAGAATTCGATATATAACTTTAGGTGTCCCTCTCTTGGATCGTGCATAATTTGACTTACCACATTCATAACATAAGCTATATTTTGTCTTATCTATGTATGATAAATAAGTTTTTTCCACTAACCTCGTGTACATATATCTCTGTTCACAGTAGGCCTTCTTTTTTTCTCTCAATTTATGATTCGGACCAATTCATGTAGGTGCAGGTTTACAAGTTAGCTTTTATGTTTCCTTTAGTTCATCAATGGCATATTGTTGTTGTGAAATAGTAGAATTTATAGGAAATACTTCAACTTGCTTTATCTGAATCTCTCTAATCAAACATTGTTTCAATGACTCTTTTTCTTGATCACTATTTCATATTACAATTATATTAATATACACTTTTATATTGCAATTATATTAATAAAAACATACATGTGTCAATAATTTCTAGAGTCAATGATTTATATAGTTATGATATTATGATGCATTCTTATCGTAAGCATCAAATCCTCAGTCTCATTTCTTTGGATTGGTCCCAAGCAGCTAATTCAGTTTTCCATCCCTTGGAGAGAAAATTTAACTGATCTTTAAGTAGTTTTTCCAATTGAATCTACATTTGGCATTTATGTTTTGTAGATCCACATATAGTTAATGAGGTATTATTTCCAAGAGATTACCTCCTAGAAACTGGTTGGAGTGGAGTTGACTTCTACGTCTTAGACATGAGGGCTCAGTAACATGGTAGATGCGGCTGTTTGGATGATTGCAGCTGTTGTAGAGATCACAAGATTGCGAATGCTGGCTAGGAAGAACACGGTTAGAGTAGAGGTGAATTTAGGAGGGTTACGGTTGCTAGCTAGAAAGATCACAGTTGAAGAATAGGAGAATATAAGGGGGTTGCAACTGCTGGAGAAACACAACAATGATGGTTGTGGAAGCTAGAATCGAAGAATTGAAGAGCTAACAGCGATGAATGTTGGAGTTAGAGAGAAGCTTGTAGCAATGAAGGCTGCAGAAGATACCCAAAAATACAAATCCAAGGGCTCTAATAGCATGTGAGAAAATATTAGAGAATTCTGTTGATCTCAATTTATTCTAATTAAGAGCAAAGTGTGTTCTTATACAAGCTGTATAGAGAAGACAACAAAAAAAAATTCATATATACAATGAAACACAAACTAAAAAAATGATGTCCATTTGAATGAAAGATTTCCTTAATCAATAATTTTATGATCCATAAATTAATTTGAGTTCTTTCTGTAAGGAGCCATTCCCGGAATGGAATAGACATTGTTGGTTGGTTTTCATAATAATTCCAGCACTTGCAGTAATTAATTCTTTCAATAGATGATCAGTCCCATATTTGATGGCAAGCATTCCGTTCCAACAACTATAAGTCGGATATCTATAAGAACATAGCCTCCCTATTCTCCAATTAAAAATGATCGTCTGCAATTAGCTGTTATTGTCTAAAAACTTTCCTCTATATGCTTTCTCAATAAGGCTTCGTTTGAGACGACTTTCTTACTGCTTCTTAAGTATCTTTTTAGTACAATTTTTTTAATTTTTATACTAAAAAATTACTTTGCGAAGCAATAAGAAAGCCGTCCCAAACAAAACCTAAATCACCCTGAAGATCAATCTGTTAAAATTACTAATAACCGGATCAACATTGACTGATTGCCTAGCCAGATGGGCAGACATCCTAAAAACAGTCATCATATCTGTACTTTTTTTTTCCAACCTAGCTGTACTAAATGCATCATTTTTCTTACAGGTTGACAAAATTCAGATATCTGAAATCTTCCAAACTGAAGAGAAGAAGTACCGTGTATGGACTGCATCACCAAACATGACCCTCGGTAATGCTGAAATGATCATGGATTTGCATGGGTTGAACCAGCTTCCTGTTGTGTCACAGATGGTCGATGGTCAAAATAGAGGACCCTTGATTGGTCTGCTGGACAGAGAATGCATAAAGGTCACGTGCAGGTAACTAAGACTTCGTTTGGGATGGCATTCTTACTGCTTCTCAAAGCAACTTTAAAGTATAAAAAATTTTAATTTTTATACTAAAAAGCTATTTTAAGAAGCAGTAAGAAAACCGTCCCAAACAAAACCTAAGCCAAGTTAATATTGCTGAAGAATAAAAAAGTAGCTCTCTGAATCTGTTATTCATTTGTTCTTTTCATCACTCTTTCAGAGCAATGGCAATAAAAGAGCTTCTCAGTCTATCTTCTATGAAAAGAAAGCACAGTTACTGAGTTGAACCTAAATAAGTTTGATGAGCTGTTGATTGCAAATGTATATAGCATTCAATGCATGATACTGCTTACTGTTTTGATTGACTATCATGGTGGCTTTAAGGTATTTAAATGGCCAAATGTATAGTTTTGAACGACTATATTCATTAATTCTCAATTCTAAAGTTAGCAGGATGAGAGTTATTATGGTGTAAATGAGGATCAAATTTAAAATTTCGCGATCAACGTTCGAAGACACTTTATCAGTCGGACGAGTTGGTACTGCATCTCTTCTGATTTTTCCTTTTTTTTTTTTTTACATAACCTGCATATTAACAGCTGGTTATTAGCCCTCAGGAGCTATTATTCTGTGCGGACACTGGACGGTTCTCCCGTTTAGTTACGCACTCGGTATCGAGTGCGATACATTTTTTGAGGTGACGTGGCACATTTTTATTGATCTCCGGACGAATCTGAACGCTGCACGTAATAATTTTTCTACGCACTCTATTAGCAGAACAGCTTTCATTCAGAAGCTGAATATTCCCCTCTATACTATTATTTCAGCTGCAGGAACAAAAGGCATAGAATTCATGTGGACTCAACAAAGCTCAATATGCTAAAATCATCAAAGCTCTTAATCAAACCGAGCAACGAGTAGCTCGTTGAACGTTTAGTTCGCTTGCATCCCTAATGCTTTGTACACTTCTACTCGCTACATGCGTCAGCAACTGGACGCATATTTGGAAACTATTTTCGTACAATAATTTTGATAAAATAACATTATAAAAAAAAATCAGACAAATTAAGATTTTATTTGGAATGATTATTTTACTAGTTAAAATAAACTTTTAGTACAAAATTTTTAATTTTTATATTAAAATTTATTAAAAGAATTGGGAAGAAAGCCATCCAAAATGGATAAATTATTCTGTGTAGAGGTCAGGCGAATCAAGCGCAGCCATGCCAGCAGTATCTAGCGAAGGAATGATGTGGCACATTGATTGGTCTTCGAAAGGTGTTCGGTGTCCGCACAAAATAATTAATCTCCAAAATGAAGCCTAAAATTGTGCAACTTAAAAGGTTGTTCTCTCCAGAATGAAGCAATGATAAAAAGAATTATTTGTATTAAATTTTTTATAATTTGGATTTTATTTCTTTTATTGAATTTTGCTCATACAAAGCTCTTTACAGTATGAAGCATTGGCTGCCAATCTAATAATATCTTCCTCCAAATTCATATTATATCATATGTACACACTGATTCTTCACCGCATATATCCAAACAGGAAACAACAGAAACATACTATGCGAGAACATCCATTATTGGGTAACGTGCAAAGTGATGGCCGTCGCATAAAAATAATAGAGAATTATTAGTTACTAATACGTTTCATAAAAATTAATTTGTTAGAGCACGCCGACCAACAAATCCCGTCTGGTATCGTGATTTTAATAAAGCAGAATTTTCTAAAAGCAAACAGCACGCCAATATGGAATCAAATTAAATCCATCATGTTTTTTAACTGAGAAATATTAGAAACAGGAGGCGGCTGTTCACTGGTATTTGTATCCATCTGTCTCATTCATGAAAAATTATTCTGTGCGAAATTCGGACGAAAAATTTTTATCATAATTGTGATTGTACATCGTATATAACTAAAAATAAACTGTGTACAAATTATAATTGAACTGTACACGCTGTGTACACTAACACTCTGGATGGAAACTTCCTAGCCTTCCGGACTCCGCGCAGAATAATTTCTCCTTATTCAATTCATCAATTTTTGAGCTTTTGATCTAAATCAGTTTCATTAGGGATAATTTTTTTGTTGTTTTTTAAAATAATTTTTTAGCTTAAAAATTTCTTGAAAATAGTCAAAAAAAAAAAAAAAAAAAAAAGGAAAAAGCTAAAAAAAAAAAAAAAAAAGGTAAAAAGCTATTCCAATTAAGCCTTAAATGTAAATTCACACACACATTACATATCAAAGTTTCGAACTCAAGACCTCTTACTAGGTAGTCTAAGCTCCCAACAAACAGATCAAGATGAGACTGTATAATTCATGATTCAATAAAGGCAATGTTCGTATCTATTAGTACACCAATCCTGTACCAATCAGAGACTGACACGTGGTCTCTCCTCATGTACAAATCATCTATATATATGAACTATGTATCTGAGAATATGATGAGATAATAGATTTAATATTTCCTGTTTCCCTTCCGTCTCTTTCTTTCCTCCGTTCCCTGTCTTCTACATGGTATCAGGCCGTCTTCTTCTACTTTCTTGATCGGGACAATGGCCAACTCTCCGACCGCATCGTCTGCAACCGCCCAATCCCAACTCCCGCCGGCTGAAACCTCTCAAATTTCTCAGTCGCTCAAATTCGTCGTCTCTAATCTCAAAACGCTCGTCCCGAATCAATTATCCTCGGAGAACTATCCTCTGTGGCGCCATCAGATCTCCAAGCTTCTTCGCGCAAATGATTTCGATCACTTTCTTGCTCCTTCGACTCTCCCTCTGGATTCTACTGATCCCGCAGATGCTTCGCTGATCAAGAACTGGCGGTTCATTGATCAGAACCTTCAAACCGCTCTGTGCTCGACAATCTCGCCGACGGTGCTCCCGTATATTCTTCATCTCGACACCACACATGAGATTTGGCAAGTTCTTGAAAGCCAGATTCAAGCCACCAGTAGATCCAAAGTAATTCAGCTCAAGAATGAGCTTCATCACATATCCATGAAAAATCAGTCTATGATCCAGTATCTGACCGAAATCAAGAAGCTCGTCGATCAAATCGCGTCTGCTGGATCTACCATCGACTCCAAAGACATAGTTTTGTACATCTTGAACGGTTTGCCGGCGACGTATCAATCGTTCAAAACATACATTCGGAATTCACCCACTCAAATTCGTCTTGAGAATCTGTATGCCATGCTTATCAGTGAAGAAATTCATATCAATGATGATGCTGCGCGCAACTCAGTCGAAATCAGCCAGCAAGCGGCCCTGTATGCCAACAAAGGTAGAGGCCGTCGCACCAGAGGCCGTTCCAACCAATTTCAAAATTCGAACGGTCGATCCGGACAATAGAAACAGCAGCCGATAATCTGCCAGATCTGCACCAAGAAAGGCCACTCAGTAGATGTATGCTGGCATCACATGAACGCTAACTACACTCCTCAAACGAGCAATCCGAAACAGAATAATGCTCTCATGGCTAACTCCGAGACTCCATCTTACGATTGGTACTTGGACTCTGGAGCCTCCTCCCACATGACCAATGCGGCTGACAATCTCAACCAATCGACAGCATATCAAGGAACCGACGGCGTCTTCATTGGGGACGGAAGAAACATTCCCATTGCTCACTCGGGCACGGGAATACTTCCAACCCCAAATCTTAAGCTTCATCTAACAAATCTACTTCACGTCCCTAACATTTCGCATAATCTTATCTCTATATCTCATTTAGTTAAAGATAACAATATCTCGGTTACTTTTGATCCAACGGGTTTTGTTTTTAAGGATCTGACGACAAATCAGGAGCTTCTTCGCGGTCCATGTAATGCAGGGTTGTACAAAGTCAGCCCAGCAAACAAGATCCCGTCAAGCTCATCAGCATTTCAAGCTTCCAAGAATTCGGTTGTCAGCTGGCATGACCGTCTCGGACATCCTCACATCCGCATATTGAACAGCATAGCTCACTCAAATCCTACACTTCACATTCAGCATTCCTCTTATTTTCCTTGCAATACTTGTATTCAATGTAAAAGTCACAAATTACCATTTGTATCCTCTACAAATAGGAAACAATTCCCTCTTGAACTTGTACACTCAGGGACATCGTTTTTTTGTTATTTTTGTGGATGATTTTTCACGTTATACGTGGCTCTTTCCGATTACGAATAAATCAAATGTTGTTTCTATTTTCATGC